ATATAATACATGTATAATATATATATATATATATGTGAAGTAATTTGATGTGGTCATCACCCACGTCCCTAGGCCAAACTGTTGATATTGTCAAACGCATGTTTCAGTCCTCAACTGTGAAGGTTTTGTTCAACACATTCCGTGTTTGTGGCATGTTTGGCAAATCCCAGCGGCTGTTCTTTCAAATTGGCGGCATTTTTTGAAAATTAGCGGCAGAATTCAATGGCCAAAATCGTAGCGGCAGAAAAAGTGCCAACAGGCATTGTTCAGGTATATGTTATATGTATATCTATCTATATATATATATCTAGACTAAGTAAAACACATTTTGAGAGCTGACCCGGTGAATCTGTGAGGTGCTTCCAGAGGTTCCCCAGCCACCTCTTCATCTGGAGGGTGAAGACGTAGGTGCCAGCGTGTAGAGCATGTTTAACAATGGGATTAAACATAACTGAACTAACAAAATATTGGGATTTAAGGGCCAACAGCCACCATTCAGAATGGGGCTTTGACCAGCAGTGGTTATTTTTCCAACAGCTTGGAATGCAATTGCCAAATATGGTGATTTCTAGTAAGCAGCTGCAAAAGATGGGGATTTGAGCACTAAAAAATGGACATTTGACTGTCAACTTAGTTTTTGTGATGAAGACATCGCTGTTACTTGCCTGCGCCAGGATGTGCGTTGCGGCTCTGGGTGCCTCAGCAGAACTGGGTTCAAACGAGTCCATATGGATCTGGGAAAAGAGTGGGTAAAGTGGGGCAGTTTCGTGGACGCGGTGAGGGAACTTGCCTCTTCATTTCAATGTTTTGCATCGTTTCTGAGGTGTGCTATACTTTTATACTTTCTTGTATGTACTCATACCTCGTTGTAGTCAAACATGACAACTGAAACTTCCCCATATGCATAACCATTTGCTTCCACTTCCGATTCAGAAAAGGATTTTCCCCAGCCATCCAGGGCCACTCATGTTTTTTTACTGAGGCTGGAGCTCACTTGATCAAGAAGGCACATGGCGCTTGTTCCTTCCTCAGTGGAACTCTGATCTTCCGAAGAATTCCCACATGCCGTGGTGATTTGGCAGGCTGGCCACTTCAAAAAATATTGGTTGCTTTGATGGGGTCCAACTTCATCCAGCATATTCAGAGATTGGTTGCGGTTCCACTCTCTTTGCACCTCTGGAAGAAAGAGGCAGAGGGAATTTCGAAGACGCCTTCGACTCTACTGTTTGCTGCTTTTTCGTATGGTTCAGCGGGGTTTCAAGCTGGTTACATCCATACTGGGTACGCCAATGATTTTCTAAAGCAAGTCCAAACATTTGGCCCCCTCAATGAACTCTCCCACAAAATGCCAGTTTTAGATAGTTTTAGTACATTCTTTTGGAGGGGTGCCCTACCTTAGGAAATACTTGTTTAGGGCCCAACTGGTGGTTCAAGAATATGGCACCCCATTCCATCCAGTTCATCATCATGTTTTCTCATGACTTATTGGCGGCCGCAAATCCTTTGTGTTTTCAAACCAATCAGAATTTATTGTGGTGTAAAGAATGTAGAAAAAAAAAATCTTCGATTGTGAAAACATGTGAAATCCCTACGATTTCCCCTTTAGCCATCATTTGTGGAGAGACGCTGTCATGGCTGTGCAAAATATCCAGGTGAGGATGCGTTCTTCGCGGACCCTCATGGCATGGGTGTGGCTGATGGAGTCGGCTGCATGGTCGGGAGAACCCAGACTCGGCGAGGTGGTTTTCATGTTTTTCCTCGGTCAGCGGATAGGACATGACTAAAAAGAAGGATTTACCCAGCAAAAACAATGTTACAGTATGTAGATTTATAGGATGGTTTAAACATGTTTAAACCATAACAATATACATATATATATATATATATATTTATTATATATAACAAAAATGATGAATTTACCAGGGAAGGAGGGAGTTTAAGAAGAATGATGCAATATCGGGAGATATTTTTCCCACCAGATTGGATCGGCTAACATGGAGAGATGGCTCCCAACAACTTGGGGTTTCCATAAATGGTGCCCCAACATTCCATTTGAAATGGATGGTTTATAATGGAAAATCCTATTGACATGAATGATTTGGGGGAAAGCCAGTTTTATGAAACCTCCATAATATTGGATATATTGGTTTCTATCTAGATATGTGATATGTGTTACTTTGAAACCCCATGGTTCAAATCCTCATCCCGCTACGAGACTTTCTGAGATTCTTTGCATGTGACATGTTATTTGTGGCCTAATCCTCATCAAGCCAGTTTACAGATTCTATGGGGATGGGGGTGGTGTTCGATATCTATATAGAGAATCTTCCTGCGATTGATCCTCGTCAACATACAAATAATATCAAAAATAATTACTGTAGTTGTTGTTTCTCAAAAGTGGTGGAGTCCAAGTCAGCATTGATTTCCTCACAGAGAACCAATAACTTGGATGACGACTTGGGGTCTCCCATGACTGAAGACTTGCCCTTATGTTTTTAGTTTCACTCAATCTTCCTGGTTTTAATTTGTATCAACATCTACTTCCCGGGGGCACCATTCATCGCATATTTGGCAGGTGCAATTCGCAAGCTACGGCATCAATGCGGCTCAATACGCCGCCGAACTGTTTGGGCCTCCGTTCTGTGTTTCCCCGGGACATGGTGGGTCTGGGTAAATGTTAGAACATAAGACTCAATGAGTTTTATAAAACGGTCATTTGGATTATTTAACAATGTTTTTAAATGTTTTTAAGACAAAGTTTATAAAATGGTGACTTATCAATGTTAGTTTTTGATGATTTGTGTCATTCTGTTCGTTCGGTCATGTTCATGGCAGTCAGTGTTTGATGGTATCGTTTTAGTATGGTTTTGTTTTGGTATTCATCGCCCAGTTTTCTGGGCAGATATATTTTTTCCTTGGTCGTTGGAATCAGACACTGGTGACACTGGTAAAAATTACAGATTGATGATGTATGTATCAATTAAGATAATTAAGGCACATATAATTTTTATGCGTTGGTTTTCTTGGGAACTTGTCAGCGACCTTCTTGCTTTACGTAGTGGGCGTGTCTGGAACTGTGGGAATCCGAAAGGGCAGAATGATGAGTTTCTCTTTTGAGCCATGGAAAGATCCAGCATTTTTTAAAAGGTAAAGCCAGGTAAACCAGCTATTTCTATGGGCCATTTTTTAATGGGTAAAGCCAGGTAAACCAGCTATTTCTATGGGCCAGCTATACCATGGCTATGTTAAATAACCAGAGGCTATCTACAGTGTGGACTTTGCGGGTTCATCCCTGGCTGAGGATGGAATTCTCCTCCGCTGCTCTGAAGTCGGGTGACCCACATGCTTCAGTTGTTGGTTTCCAGGGAGAAAACCGAGTGATCCCTATGGATCTTTCGCTGTGACTTCCATGTTGACTTTCATCCGATCTTCCAGGTGGCCGTGGAAGTTATCAGACTCATTGGACTATTACGGAGCGGAAAAAGAATGGCCCACCCCTTTTGGTTGATGATTCTGTCGCCCTTTCCGATGGCTTAATTGTACTGTGAAGAATGCACTGGGACTTAATCTACCCAATCATCAAGCATGTGTCAATAAAAAGTGTTTTCCTGGTATGATTAGCATGTATTCGGATAATTTAGCATACTCATCTATACATGAATCCCCCCACAATGGAAAGGTCTTGAATGGGGGATGTTCCAGTTTTGTGTTCCCCAAGGCCTGGCGGTATTGCCAGCGAGGACAAGATCCCAAGTGGCTCCTGGCATGTGTCGCCAGCGGTGGCTGTTGCTATTTAGTGAATATAGAGAGACCCTCAGGTATTGGTTGGGTCCTGACCTGAGTTGTTGCTGTTGCATGTCTCGAGTTTTACTCTTCAGTATCACATAGTATGATTGTGTATATATATATATATGTATAATTATATATACATATATTATGTAAATATATTGTTTTAAATATATATATATAGTAATATCTCATGTAATGTGGTAAGCCCAACACATAGAACTACGTAGAAAACCATAATTCATGGCACCAATTCTTTACCCGAGTTTACCTTTTGGGTCCATTTGGAGGGTATTCAAAGCCTTACCTTTGTGAGGGGGTTCTAGGGTTCCCTGTACCACATTATCGGTTTCAGATGTTTGGAAGATTCAACCCCAATTGGCTAGGCTGCCAAGTGCGGAGAACAGTGAATGCCAACGGTAAGACACCCCAGGTATGTACCGGGTTTCTTCGAGAATACATTGGTTGGGCATCCTCTTCCCCATGATGATTTGAAGATCTTATTGGATCATTTTGGCATTTTAAGACAACCCCCGTCTTGGCTTCCCCTATTGTTGCTGCTGTTGCTGTCGCATCAACTCCTGGATTTGATGGTGAAAGCCCGGTAATATCCCTACATGATCTACATGACCCTGCCAATGAAACATGGCTGACCAGAACTCCGCGATCAAGTGGATGATTATGGATTTACATCTGTATTCTTGCTTTGCGTACGGATTTCATTGGTGATTGCCAGCTATATGGCCAAGATTACCAGTTCTTTGGTGCTGACATTCCATTTTGTGCTGGCGAAGACCCTTAAATCCATCCAGTGAGAGCCGATTTTGCATGGCAGCGCTACGCCAGATGATGTGGCCAGCCGTGCTGCCACTGCAATGCAGCATGGAGAATCCCAAGCGGCTGTAGCTGGGCACGTTGCTGGGGATTTATTGAGGTTTGAATGGGATTTAGTCAGCCTAAATAGGAATAAAACAAGATAAAACATGATAAAACCATCAGCAAATAGTTCAAGATGAGTTAAGCATGTTACTTACTATCATAACCAGCTGGACAACAAGAATCTTTGTTCAACAACAAAGCATGTGGCAGGAAGTCACAATCTATCCATTGCTCGGGAGTCGAATCTCTTGAGTTTCTTGTGGCATAATGTTTTGGCCCTAAGGCATACGGAGCCTCCACGGTTGCCGTCTTATGCCAGCAAGGTGCCCCGCTGAAAATCCACACTTGGAGGCCCCCAAAATCCATGTCTGGAAGATGCTTTCTCCTATTGATCTATTGGAAGCAATTGTTTGGGAAAAAGGCATGGTTCCATTGTTAATTTTCGAGGGGGTTGTAATTTTCCTGGACCTCGAGTACAAACTGAAAGGTTGAAAACACAAGATTTCTAGACACAACCGGCCTTCTTGGGTTTTTCCTAAGCCTCAGGAAACTTCCTGGGAGTGGCAAACCTTGGTGACTCGGGTGGCCGCCTCAGGGTTTCACCTGCTTATAAAGTGTGGGTTATGAACCACCCAGGCAAAAAATAGGCTTTGGGATTGTTAGCAATACCAACATTGTACATGTTTCATGCCTTGAGGAAGACAGCTGGGGTGAGGTGCTTCCCTGAAAAAGGTGAGATATGGAGTCCACAATGGATCACAGGAGACTGATGGATATGGTTTTGTCTGAAAATCTGCCGGCTCCCCCAGTTTCATAGTAAATTATATTTGGAAAATTCTATATTTACCAGTCGGCTCGCGTTGCATGCAAGGATTCATGGTTCTGCGCAAGGGGCCTCGTGGGATGTCGGCAGGGGGTCTCAGATTTCTGGGATGACCAGGCCTATGGACGTTTCCTAAGTCATAGGGCTACCCACATCGAGACGTCATGCATTTGAATTGGGTTTTCCATACCATCCAGCTATGCAGCTATTGGGTACCTCCATGACTTGGGAAACCCATGGAACCCATTGGAACCCCCCTTTGAAGCTCCCATCGGCCGCTTCCTGAGCTTGACGTCTGAGATCATCGTCAAGTCAGAAGAGCAACAACACAGCTGGCCCGGGACACCAAGTTTCTGGTTCTATTGCCCCAAGTTTCGTTGCCCATGCACTTTGCAGTACACACCAAAAAGTGATTAAATAAGACAATAGACAGAACTCGGAAATACAGTAAGCAGGCTCATAGTATCACTTCAATGACCAAGGACATTGACCCCATATTAGTTGACAGATATTGAAACATTAATGATTAATGGCTTTCCGAGGCTACTTTCAATATTTATCAATCCCCAACAGGATAATTCTCCTCCTTGGTTCAACCCTGTCAAGGAATTGCCCCTACCAGCTGACACGACTTCCCAAGGCGCGGAAGATAGCTAGATGCCCCGAACAGATCCAAATAGCACGCAGATGAATGGTGCAAATCCCGGATTGAGCTTCAACCCCAAAGTCAGGATTTGAAATGATTTGAATCTTTGATTGGCTTGTCATTTTTCGGATATTTTTTCTATTACCGTAAGTAGAGATATTCATAGATTTTAACAATGGATTGTCCTGCCGCATGGATAATGCATCTGGCCATGCACTGACCCCGGTGACAAATCCGTGTTGCGCCGCAGACTCTTCTGAATCGATTCCCTAAGCTGCAGCTGGACAAAGCACGAGATTGCCTGGAACTTATGACCTCATACACTGTGATGCCCCAGTTCGTAACTAAGTTGGTTTGTAACTTAGGCTATATCATTTCATGCTATATCTATACAGTAGAGAATATTTGAGAATATCTGATAATATATATATATACACATGACATGATATATACATAAATATAAATACAGCAACTGCGTGTTGCAAGCCAACAAGTATAACTGCGAGGCACCACATTGTAGGTGGTGGTGTGTGGGGGAAAAAGGAAAGGCTTTGTTTGGAGGTCTGACCTTGCAAAATGTGGATATGAAATGATATGAATTTAACCCTATGATTTGGGTTTGTAAAAAAACATGGTTTTCCACACACACACACACATATATATATATATATATGAGTCCGGACTCCGGATCCCTGGCCCCCCCCCCACACGGGACTATACATACATGCATGCATGCATCCATCCCCATCCATCCATCCATCCAGCCAGCCAGCCAGCCATTCATCCATCCATCCATCCAGCCATCCATCCAGCCAGCCAGCCAGCCATCCATCCATCCATCCATACATACACACACAGACATACATACCTATCTACCTATCTACCTATCTACCTATCTACCTACCTACCTACCTACCTACATACCAACATACCAACATACCAACGTACCTACGTACCTACGTACCTACGTACACACGTACATGCATGGATGCATGCATACATACATACCTACCTACCTACCTACCTACCTACATACATACATACATAGATACATAGATACATAGATACATACATACATAGATACATAGATACATACATACATACATACATACATACATACATACCAACATACATATCAACATACATACCAACATACATACCAACATACATACCAACATACATACCAACATACATACCAACATACATACCAACATACATACCAACATACATACCAACATACCAACATACCACCACCACAGGCCACAGTGGGGGGGGGACCAGAAGAACCATACCACCACCACAGGCCACATACATACCTACCTACCTACCTACATACATACATACATACATACATACATACATACATACATACCAACATACATACCAACATACCAACATACATACCAACATACATACCAACATAACAACATACCAACATACCCACATACCAACATACCACCACAGGCCACAGGGGGGGGGGACCATGGGGGGAGGGGGGGGGGGGCTTGGGAGTCCTGGGTCATATATACCGACATCTATTGCATTTACATAGGCCATATTAATTATGATCGAAAAAAATGCTGATAAACCATCAACATTGGAGGTACCCTATTTACAGACAAACCCAATTATCATGGGAAATTTCTTAAACATTTTGCAGTGCTAGACTCTACCAGATTCTCACCACTTGTCTTGTGCATCAAGGCGAGCGCTACACTGTTCCGATCCGTGAGGCCTCACTGATTCCGAAGTGTGAGAGGGTTTAAACGGTTTAACCAGGATGATGGTGGTTTCATGTGGTTTTGTGCGTTGTTTGGTAGATGTGGATTTCCCATTAAAAAATGTGTTTGTCTTTGTGTCCCAAGGGTCCCAAACTGGAAAAAGGGGATCGTCCCAGATGCTGCGTGCCGGGCTTTGGGATGGTTACCCAAGAGAACGAGGATCATGGAGGTAATTGAATTTATATATGTATACTGTACAATTATATCATTATGTTCTCATATCGCGAAAAAAAAGTAGAACATCTCCAATATCTGTTTTTAAGTGACTTTCGAAATGACCAAAAATCAGTGCAGGGACCCGTGCCAAAACCCTGTTTTTGGATCTTTTTGGTGGGTTACCAAGCAACATCCACACACCACAAGAGATGTGAGAGACAATTTCATCTATATTGCTGCAACAGAATGAGAACACCAGGTTATAGATGAAATCAGGTGACCAATATAATTACTGATAATATGTGTCAATAATCTCAGCTTCAGATTGATATCTTCAATGGCTGGGTGGTGTTTCAAAGTCTCTGGACATCCTACCACGATTGGCCCCTCTCTGCGCAAGGGAGACCTGGTGATCATGTTCTCCGACGGATTGCGTGATAACCTTCACGATCGTGAGGCCCGGACCGTTCGGTTTTTTGGAGTAATTAGACCAGGTGCTGTGGATGTGGGTTTGTCAAAAATCGGGTACGGTATGCCGGTATGCCACAAGATTGCATTTGAAGAAATTATGCTCATCCTCTGGAATTGCCTGGATTCCGTGTTCCCAAAACTTCCAGAGAAAATTTGTTTGAAACTGCAGTTCAATGGTGCTGCTGCAACTTTTTCTGCTGGTAGTGTGGCGGAGATGGTGCTGCCCAAATTTGCAACTGGGACAGAGTCTTATAGAAACTTCGAAAACCACTCATCAGTTGCCTATGATACTTACAAAAAAGCATGAGAGAGCGATGGGCCAGTATCGATGAGTCTTCTGCAATATATACACATAAAATCATAAACATGATTGTTTAATCTGCTATTGTTCACACCAGAGCTACTGGATAGGATACCGATACGCCAAGCATCCCCAAGCCCAAATCCGTTTCCTCACCATTTTCCCCATCGATGCAATTTTGTATTTCCCTCATTTTCGGATCCCGTATAGATGGGGACATGGGACCCAGCTCTGGAAAAGAAAGCCTGCGCCATGTAACAAATAACCCATCGGCAGCGACCACGCAGGTTGTGAGCTTGGTAAATCGCACTTTGCCCCCAATGTGTGCAGTCTGGAGACCCAGACAGCGGCAGTTACCAAGAAGGTGCTGCTGCTTGAGCTTGCATTGAGGGTCAGAAAGCTATCTAGGGCTGTATGACATCTGGACATATACACGTAGTGTGTCATGTCGGTCGTATGATATGTATGTATTATATAATTATACAATCCCCCATGTATAGCTCACTATAAAGTGGACATCCTTTGCGCTTATAAAGTGGGTTTCCGGTCGCCACTTTATATACCGACAATGGGGGATAAAGCCGTGTTTTGCGCGAGAAACATGCCCTTGGACCTGGAAGATGACTTTATAGCAACGTTGGCTTTCCAGTTTATACCCGGCTGGTTCCCCACAAGGAAACGACTCAATATATGCGGCAATGCATTTTATAGACCGTTGGTTCCCTTCAAAGAATGGCCATAATATGTCACACCATCCACTTTATAGAAACATGTCTCCCCAATGATTTCGGGCCAATATCTTTCTGTTGGGGCTGTATACATGGCAAAGCACTTTATAGAGTGAAACTTGCCCTTTAAGAAGAAGAATTTGTGCTGCATCCAGGGCACTTTATAGAAAGAAAATTGCGGCAGAGCATTTTATAGAGTCATGAGATACATCACCCAAATCACTTTATAGAGCTGCCCAGGACCCCATTCACCCTGAGGACCCCTTTCAAGGGAAATCTTCTTCTCTATAAAGTGGCCAGTCCAGGTAAAACCCCTGAAAAAACAGAATCTATGTTGGACTGGCCACTTTATACCCCCTCCCCAAACAGAGAATGCCTCTATAAAGTGGCCAGTCCAGGTAAAACCCCTGAAAAAACAGAATCTATGTT